GTCCTTTAATCGGAAAAAACTCCCTTGTACCCTCGCGGGGGCGGAAAAAGGAGGTGTGACACTGCTAAGGTATGACTTTCTCCTTTTGTCCATGTAAATTTATAACTGACTCATTGCAGGTGTTTGATCAAGGACATCGAAGGAACCCTTTTACACGAAGACCTTAGGTTTTAAAGTACGCATTTCATTTTTTTCCCTTAGATCGAATTTTGTCTCAAATGGGTTTTACCGGCGAGGTTTTTAACGAGGCAACAACTATGTGCTACCTGAGGAGAACTCAATAGTATCCAAGGTTTCTTTTTAATCAACCTCGAATATTGTGGGGCATCACCCTCAGAGATTATATTTTTGAGGAAAATACTTCACGCTAAAGTGGACCTCGATAGGAAAACTTTGTAATGGGCCAAACGGTCAGATGAACTGTGTCCATATAGAATAGTCGAGCCCCGGCGGCAAAACATGTACACATTGTTCAAAGAAACATTCTTCCTATATCAAAACATTTTGTGTCTCAAAAAAGTCTTCTATTATACGAGCTACATACTTGTAATTCTATGAGAAATGGCTCAAGGGCCAAAACACAAACATACCTCGAATATTCGGGGACTGTCATCGACAGTCAACATATTCGAGTCATCTAAACTCGAATTCATAAGACCTCAAAGAGGCATCCCTTCGACATAAAGGCCAAGGCCATCATACTCGGGGACTAACCTTTCGAACAAGTTCTAAAGGTTATTGGGAAACGAGTCCAAGAGACATACCCCAAGGCTACGACCATATTAAAGACTATAGTTATATAAAAAAAGGCTACGGCCGAAATAATACGGCTCGGAGACGTCTGACTTCTGCCATAAGTTAAAGGCCTTCTAATACTTTGAAAAAATCGGTTAAATCAGGCTACCCTCGGCAAAAGCAAATAAAAAAAGGCTTCGATAAAATCAGCCCTCGAATAATTGAAAGGCTTCGATAACATCAGCCTTCGAAAAAGCCTCAATAGGTATTCAGTTATTGTGACACAAACAGATTACGAATGAGGTTTCGATCGATTGAACCTTCGAAAAATCCAACGGGTACAAAAACACATGCTAAGACATAAATAAATTTTCACTAAGTCTTTTAGCCAAAAAGAGGGAAAAATTATAGCCGTCTTAGAGGACGAATTGGCCCAACTTAAAGAGCCTAAGGGCCGACCTAAAAGAGCATAAGGGCCAATATAAAAGAGCCTAAGGGCCGAAGCATGTAGAGTCTGAGACCTTGCTCTCAATCAACTCGGACTCAAGAGTCCCATCATCCCGGGGTCGCATCAAATCAACTTAAGCATTACTCGAGGATTAACAAAAACCTTAAGAGGTATTCTATTATTATAAGTTCAAAGATTGTCCATTAATCACTAAAAACCTAAGGGTTTATTCTGAGTCCGAGCCAGTGCTCACTTGATCATTGAAGTCGTACCATCAAAACTTTTCATAATTAAAGCAGAATTCAATACAAATAGGAGATAAAGTGAAAAGAAAGGGAACTTCTTATATTCATAGAAAGTATTTACAATTCCCAAAAAGGGCCTTATACAAAAAAAACAAGAACAAAAAGAACCTAATCTACTTTGGGAGCCGCATCCTCGGGAGCCACCTACGCGTCTTCGGGAACCTCCTCCTCAGGGACTCCATCCTCATCTTCCCTGCCCTCAAAACCATTGGCGGAATCTTCATCGTCAGAAGAAATGAGGAACCTGGCATTGGTTTCCAGCTCTCTTATTTGAGTTATCTCTTCAGTGAGGTCAAAACCTCGGGCGTGGATCTCTTCAAGGGTCTCCCTCCAAGATTGGCACTTAGCCAGCTCCTTGCTCCGTTTTTCCCTATTGGAGGCCTCCCTTAGCTCTGTTTGAACAGCCTCGGCATACCTTAAGTACACATTGATGGTTTTATCGGTCGTGGCATTCGTCCTCTCCACTTCGGCCCTAGCTTCAGCAATCTTAGCCCCGGCTTCAGTGAGTTTGACCTCGAGCTCCTTGATCTTCTTGGCCTGGGCCAAATTTGTCACTTTAATACCCCTGAGCTGGGTCTCAGCCGAGGCCAGTTGGGCTAGAGCATCCACTTTATCAGCAACAAGCCAATCTATGTTCTCCTTCCATCGGTTGCAATCGGCCTTTACCTAATCGATCTGATGCAGCTGAGATAGTGAAGTATTAGCCTCCACAGTAAGGCCAAGAAGACCATACTCTTTCAAAATCACGGTTACCTGCTTGTCCAGCTCAGCCTCGTTTTCACGGGCTTTGGCCAAATCGGCCCGAAGGTCCTTGATCTCCTCCTCCTTTTGGTCGCAAAGAAGCCTCAGGGCCTTCTCTTCATCCGAAGACTTCTTGAGCTCGGCCTCACATTGGCTCAGCTTGGCCTTGAACTTGGTAATAGCCTACTCAAAAAATAAAGAGATATCAGTTAACACAGAAGGAGGAGAAAACAAAGAACGTTTTGCAACAACAAAACTTAGTGCTTACCTGAGAGAAGAGACGATGAGCCTCTTCAAAAAGGGTAGATGCATCATTGAGGCTTGAGCGTCTTTTATTGCCTCCTCGAAAAAAGATGGTAGAGAAGGGGAATGACCTATTGTCACGGCCTCGAGCTCCCCTACTCAGGGTGTTCTGATTAGCTTTGAGGTTTTCGGCACTTGTACCCTCCAGTGTACTTGTTTAAGGTGGGGGAATGATCTCGATCTCTGGGGATTCAGGGGCTTTCCCCGAGTCTTTCTTTGGAGTTCCCTCACCATGAGGCGAGGTCTCTGGTTCGGAGGGCTTGGCGGCCTCGACCGGTTTCCTAGTTCGGGGCACCAACGTTGATACTTCACCCTCATTTTCTTCATCATCCGGGAATTGGTGGACCGAATCTACGTCCACATGAATAAATTTCTTCCTTAGCCTTTGAGCAGGGGCTTTCTTGTCTTGGGGATCTTCAGGCTTCGAAGCCCTTTTTCTCTTGTTGTCTTTTCCCATTTTTGGAATAGGGGACTCGGTCTCTTCCTCGGGCAGGGCCTGCCTCATTTCAGAGACAACTCCAATGCCTGCATAGATAAGCGTAAATGTGGAAAATATCTCCAGAAAAGGTAAAACATCAGAAAAACTGGGAGAAGAACTAACAGTGGTGTTTGGCCTCCTATTTCCCCCTCGATAAATCACGCCATTGCGCTCGTCGTACGAGGAGGTTACAACTAATTTTTGGACCCAATCCTCGAGGTCGGTGACCGCATGGGGTATCCAAGCAACAACTACAAAATAGGTAAAGGCATTACGAAACTCGGAAGCGAAATATGAGAGGGTATTTGGAAAGGGACTCCACTTACATTTAAAGTTCCATTTCTATGGGAATGGAATTTTTTCCCTAGGGATGACATTCGAGGTCCTCACTCTAACAAACCGGCTCATCCAGCCTCTGTATTTGTCCTCGTCGTTACTAGCAAATAAGGCTTTGCTTGATTGATGTTGAAGCTTGATTAGCCCTCGAAATAGCTGAGGCCGATATAGCCGAATGAGATGGTTGAGGGTAAACTCTAACCCCTCGGCCTTGCTGGAGAAGTAGCGCAGCATGATCACGATGCTCCAAAAGGAGGGATGGATCTGGCTGAGAGTAACCTTGTACCTTTTGTAGAAGTCAATCACTACTGGATCAAAGGGACCCAGTGTGAAGGGGTAAGTGTAAACACTTAAGAACCCCTCCACGTGAGTGGTGATGCTCTCCCAGGGGTCGGGGATCTGTACCACGACTTCGTCTCCCCAATCTCAATCCTTCTTCATGGCCTTAAGATGCTTCTTTGATATCGAACTAATATATCGAGATACATGTTCGCATCGGCCTCGAATATTGGGGGGATTTTATATATTGAAATCCTTCTTTACCACACAGGGGACGGGAATGATTTTGTTAAGGGCCGGTGCTACAAGTTTGGCCGGCCGGGAAGAAGAAGAAAATGCCTTCTCTTTTTGGGGGATTGTTTTAGAAGTTTTGGGCATGGTTTTAAGCTAAGAGATGCGGAAGATAGCGGGGCGTGGTGTTTTCTGGGAGCTTGGCATTTTCCGGCACTTAAAGGGCGTCAGAAGCAAATGATGAGAGAAAAAGATGAAGAGGAAAGGGGATCAAAGTGAATGTACTGAAGAGGTAAAGTTCTTAATTCAAAGGAGGAGCCCCGTATTTATAGATAAGCGGTGACGGTTCGGCAGCGCTAGTGGCCGACCATTACTGGCATGCATTTAATATTTTGGGGAAGCAAACCGATGGGATGTTTCGGTCACTTCGAGCGCCTACGTCACGAGTATGATGCCATCATCAAGGGTTACGGAAAATCGAGGTTCAAATCGTTTCTTATCATTTTACTCTAAGAAACGCGGGGTTAAATCACGTGCCCCCGATTTTGTGGGCTCGAGGGCTCGCATCGAGGAACATAGGGCTCGAATCAAGGGGTAAGCTCAGTATGGACCGGGCTCGAGTTCGAGGGCAGAACGTAAGGGTCAATGATCGGAGGGCACGACGAGTACCGAAGCCAAGTATGACCAACCTCGAGATCGAGCCGTTATGGGTTTGTTACAGAAGGACAAGATTCCCGCCACGTCCCCAAGATGGTGGCATAAATTCCGGAATTTATTCGTACGGCCTAGTACGAATCCGTACTAGGCGGTTAGACAGTTGTCCCAATAAGATTCCTTATTGTAAATAGAAATGTACCTTATTTAGGGTTCCCCTATTATATAAAGGGTACCTCAATCATTTGTAAACATCATCAATCATTGGCAAATAATATACTCTCTTACTTTTTCGCTCATTGTTCATCAGAATTGTCCTTTATCTTTACTATTTTTGCTTTACTGTTCTTGATTCACCTCGAGGTCACTTTGGCTCGAGGTCAAGACTAGTCTACTTTCTGGTTTGGTTTTACTTATTTGCTTTGTTTATATGTTATACTTCTTGGTTATTAATTAGTATTGAATTAAATCACATATATTTAAAACCACAAATCAAATTTAATTGTTACTCATATTTTCGAGTTAAACAATTTCACTTCAAACTCTCGACATTTTAGTTAACAACAATGGCTAGTTTATCATAATTTAATTCAAATTTAAGTTTATCCACCAACTCTTAAACAATTTTAAACTGCAAGAAATAAGACTTTTTAATCATCACAGAAAGTGAAAAAGTCGTGGTAAAATTCTTTTTTGGTGGCAACTTGAGAGTCGGTTAGAATGGTCCCTTGTCACTTCGACTGTAATGGGATGGTTGGAATTCATTGTTCTTAACTAGAGATCTTAAATTTGAGCTTAGAAAATAAAAGAATTTTTTTCCCTCCTAGTGAAGCTTACCTGACGCATATCTCAATTGATTGGATCAACCACTTTCGACTATCGGATTATCAAAAAAAATAAAAAAAAATTAATAATCCCTTCTTAAGACATTCGTGGCTATCTTTAAAATTGAAGAGACGGACAAGTCGATATAAAATGCTTTATGCATGTTTCCTTATGCCAGTGAGAAAGAAAACTTATTTTGTGCCTCACACAACTGATACTATTTGTGTGAGGCCTCTTTTTTATCTCATAACTGTGTGAGTCCTAAAATTTTGTGAATCAAGATATGTAAAATATGTGTCCACAAATATGTAAGATGAAAAAAGGCCTCACACAATTAGTATCAGTTGTGTGAAGCACAAAATAAAATCACTCGCCAGTGAGAAAAATCAAACCATTGAAGGCGGCATAAAATGATTTAAGTAGTTTTCCCTAACAATTAGAAGAAGCCAAAATTAAATATATGTGTAGGTAGACTTTAGTTTTGACGGCAACAGGAATTAAGCACCGGATGCTGTCCCCTGGGGAAAATACTATCCCCAGTCACGACTAATAAAATGACAAATTTCCGATAAGGATTGTGATAGTGTAGTGAGTATAATTTTGGAGTTGAATTCTAAGAGCCTGTTTGGCCATGAAAACTTTTTCATTCTTTTTTAAAAAATATTTACTTTTTCCGAAACTAGCGTTTAGCCATAAAATTTTCAATTTTCACTTGAAAATGAATTTTAAAATTTTTCAAAAATTTGAAAAACTCCAAAAAACTATTTTTCAAAATTTTCGTTTAGGTTACTCACAAAAATTCAAAAACAGCCCAACATTATATTCATGTCTAAACACAACTCCAATTTTCAAATACGATTTTCATATTTTCTTTTTTGGAATTTTATAATTTTTATGTCCAAACACCCACTAAGTATAAAATTACCATTATCGGGTAACATTTTACCCCAATATAAGACTTTTTATCGCAAGTCAAATTTAGTCAGGCCAATATAAGTAACGAATATCGAATAGGAAGGCAGTATTATACATTTAAATAAAAATAAAATCATAAATGTGGTTTTTCTATGGACAAGAAAGATACCCAACGTGGTCCTTTTCCAATTCAATTACACTCTACCATTTAGGCACCACTTAAAAAAGAGAAAGTGCGGGTACTATACTAGTCCATCCCCACATCTTGCAGCTCAGTGAAGCTTCTCTCTCTCTCTACATCTTGAATGATCACTCAACATTGTGGTAACAAAATCAAACATGAATTAGAGAGAAAGCAAAATAAACACAATGAAAGTTAATTTCTTGAGCAACTTCTTGATACTATTAGTTAGTTCTTTTACAGCTCAATTAATCAATGGAGTAGCAGACACCCAAATTCAAGATTTCAATGGCAAGGAAAAAACCAGAAGAATTCTGCACCAACCACTCTTTCCAGTTACTTCATCTCCACCACCAAATTCAGAAATATCTCCACCTATTGACCCTATTTTCCCCAGCCCAGACCAGCCCTTTTTCCCAGAAGTTCCCACAGTACCAACTTCAGATCAAACACAACAACAATCTCCACCAATTCAAGCCAATTATGGGACTCCAATTTCACACCCTATTGCTCCTCAGCCACAAAATCCAACCAAGAAACTAGCTATTGCAATATCAGTTGGAATTGTCACTTTAGGAATGTTATCTGCTTTAGCATTTTACCTCTACAAACACAGTGTTAAACAACCTGATGAAACTCAAAAACTTGTTGGTAACAACAATTCTCAAGAAAGAAACAATCAAGAATCAAGAATGCCACCTTCCAATTTTCTTTACATTGGTACAGTTGAACCATCAGCCAATAACACATCAGCTAACCAATCAAATGTTGCTAATTCTTCCCCTTATAGAAAATTGAGCTCTGTTAAAATATCAGATAGGTATAGACCAAGTCCTGAACTTCATCCACTTCCACCATTGAGAAATTCCATAGTCCCTCCTATAATTAATTCACCCCCGAGAATGTCATTATCTGATGAGGAGAATCATAACACCATATTTTACACTCCATGTAGTAATAGGATAAACAAGCAACTTAGAGTAGAAAATCATGTGAATAAATCTATTCCTCATTCAAAGAGAACATCTCCAAGATTGTCTCTTTCGGGTTCATCCCCTGATATAAAACGCGCTATAATACCATCAGTTAAACAAAATTCAGCTTCTCCTCCACCACCGCCTCCGCCTCCGCCTCCACAGCAAGATCATTTGACGGAATTTCCAGAAGAACCTCCATTGCAGCATAAGAAGCGAGCGCTATCTTATGTGCCACAAAGGGCGAAATTCTCATCACCACCACCTCCACCAGATATGTCAAGGCTTAAATCAATAAGCAATCAATACCAACAAACATCAAAAGTCCCAGCTCCCCCTCCTCCTCCACCACCTCCTCCACCTCTACTATCAACACCCCGAAAACTTGGAAGCAAAGCCGGCTCAAAGGTAAGGCCATTGAAGCCATTGTATAAATATGTATTATTAGGTATATGATTCTTTTTGATTTGATCAATTGTTTGGATGATAGGATAAACTATGATTCTGGTTTTTCCTTCTTTAGTTATTTCTCTCTCTTGTTTTACTGATCCGTAGATAAGCAAGTCCTTTTGTGTCTCATTAGTTTATGAATTAAATGAAATAATTTTAAGGTCATCTTATTATGATTTTATTTTAGGCTATTAATTCCATTGAGCCGCCCTTGCTTGGAGGATCACAGAGAAGTATTGGTTCAACTGCTTCTTCGCAAGTGTTAAAGCCTCAATCAAGTAGTCCCACACCAAAATCAACACCTGAGAGTGAAAAGAAAAGGCCTTTGGAAGAACAAAACGGAGAAGCCAGACATGATACCGACACTACGGATGAATCAAAGCCCAAGTTGAAGCCTTTACATTGGGACAAAGTACGAGCAACTTCTGAAAGAGCCACGGTGTGGGACCAGCTAAAATCGAGCTCTTTCCAGTAAGTAGATGAATAAAGATTGATATCATCGACTAATGGTAAAGGAGCATATTTTTCATCAAAGAAATATAACATTTCTAATTTCAGGTTAAATGAAGACATGATGGAGTCACTCTTTGGATGTAAAAATTCTGCTAATTCAGCTCCAACGGATACTACTAGGAAATCAGTTCGTCCTCCTGTTGAGAAGGAGAACAGTGTTCTAGACCCGAAAAAATCACAAAACATTGCCATAATGTTGAGAGCACTGAATGTAACTAAGGATGAAGTCTCTGAAGCCCTTTTAGATGGTATGTGATATTTTCCACTCCTTTGCATAAATAAGGATTTAGAGTATGCGTGGTATTACAAAAGTCATTTTTAATGAAAGATGTTTTCTTGGATAGATATTGTCCATGAAAAATGTTTGCCGGTCCTGATGAAATTTTTGAGTTCCAAAGATTCATAATAATTTCTAAATATTAGTTGGAGCAAAGAATATGAAGTTAAAAATTATGACGGTTGTAAGAAAAATGACTCTCATTTATGAGTGAAGGAAGTCCATTTCCTCTTTTTGATGGAAAACGTTCTCCTTCCAGCTAACCAAACACCAGAAAATGACTTACTCATGGAAAAACATTTTACTGAAAAGTGACTTCCGTGGATATCAATACTTACTGCTATTGCAAAGCTACTTCTCTGGTTGGCTAAATTTCACATACATTCAGTTCCATATATGCCAAAACATTTGGACTGCAATACCAGGGCATAAGCATATAACAACATGAATATCATATTGACATGGGAATTTATTATATCTGTGACACTGTATCTTTTTTGTCTATCTATTTTGATCATTACCGGAAAGTCTTTCTTCAAAATTCATATATATGGGAATGTATTTTGATGATACAGGAAATGCAGAAGGATTGGGGCCTGAACTTCTGGAGACTTTGGTCAAGATGGCTCCAACAAAGGAAGAAGAAATAAAACTAAGAGATTACAACGGGGACACTTCAAAATTAGGGTCTGCAGAACGATTCCTCAAGGCTATTCTTGATATACCATTTGCCTTTAAAAGAGTCGAAGCCATGCTATATAGAGCAAATTTTGATGCTGAAGTAAAAGATTTGAGAAAATCTTTCCAGACCCTTGAGGTATTATCAGCTTTCTACTTAACTTTCACCTTGCTAAGATTAGCCTATGAGTCCTATAAAACACATTCACATGTTTTTCGTCAATATTGACTTCTCCCAGACTCTTAACTATGCTGAAAATCTTACACCAGTAATCTTGTGCCTGAATTTGGAGTTGATTTTATCAATGCGAAACTATGACAATTTCTTAGAAACTTTACCACACTTTGTTGCACTGGTAAATTTGAGCCACTTATAGAGGAATCATGCACACCTATCACTGATTTGAAGGCTTTAGCAGGGCTGATGTAGAGCCCGTTTAGCTTAGCTGATTTAAATTAGCTGATAAGCATTAGATGCTGAAAAACACTTTTAAGTATTGAAGCTGATTTAATAAATAAGCAGTTACGTTTTTCGATAAAAGTGCTGAAATTGAAAATAAGTAGCTGAAGTGTTTGGCTTATTTTTGGCTTATAAGCGCTTGATTTATAAGCACTTTTAAAATGCTTAGATTATAAGCTGGTCTAGCCAAACACCCTCATACTTTGCTCTTTTAACTTAATTTTACATATTTCTTTTAAACAAGTTACAAGAATATTTTTTAACTCTGGTGCAATGCCATTTTGAACAGGAAGCAAGTCGAGAACTAAAGAACAGCAGACTATTCTTCAAACTCCTTGAAGCTGTACTCAGGGCAGGAAACCGCATGAATGTTGGCACTAATCGCGGTGATGCCAGAGCGTTCAAACTTGAAACTCTTTTGAAATTGATAGATATAAAGGGAACAGATGGAAAGACAACCTTGCTTCACTTTGTCGTCCAGGAGATTATCAGATCAGAAGGGCTGGGTTCTGATACCAGGGACGATAACCTACCAAATATATCAAATATCAAATTCAAAGAGGAAGAATTCAAGAAGCAAGGGTTGCAGGTAGTTGCTGGATTAAGCAGAGAACTCGGCAATGTGAAAAAAGCCGCAGGAATGGACTCAGATGTCCTAAGTGGCTACGTGTCAAAGCTCGAGGCTGGACTTGTTAAAGCTAGATCCATTTTGCAATATGAAAAGAAAGGCGCGGAAGGAAACTTTTTTGAGTCAATGAAAGTATTTCTCAAGGACGCAGAAGATGGTATAGTGAGGATTAAGGCGGAGGAAAGAAAGGCTTTGTCTATGGTCAAAGAGGTGACGGAATATTTTCACGGTGATGCTGCAAAAGAGGAAGCTCATCCTCTCAGAATATTCGTTATTGTGAGAGATTTCCTCTCTATATTGGATAGCGTGTGCAAAGATGTCGGGATGATGCAGGATAGAACAATGGTTGGTGCGGCAAGATCATTCAGAATAGCTGCAACTACCTCACTGCCAGTCTTAAATAGATATAATGCGAGTCAAGATAGGCGTTGGGATGACGATAGCTTATCACCTTGACGTTATGTGCAAAAATGATGCTAGGACCGCACTCCTGTCCAAAAATTATGCATTTTGGAGGCTCCGACAAGGGTGCAATGACATTTTTGGAGGTTCCGAGCAACACATGTTACAATTACTACGATGTAGGAGGAAGACAGGAAAGTGGCATCACAACTTAAGCAATCTCACTTCATTAAGGAGAATCAGCATCTGGTGCTTGTAAGTAAAAGATTTGCATCGAATTGCCCGGCATCATGACGAGGGAAAGGCAAAAGAACTATAAATGGTCCAAGAATTAAACCATCAAACAAGTAGACATAAGAATAAGAGGCTGCAATATTTTGGGATACTGTCAAAAGCAACTATTATTAATTATAATCATAAGTTCAACACAAAATGATCAATTTAAAGTAAAGGGGTTATTTCTTATTTCTGTATAGACCTAGGTAAGAAAATCTTGTTCATTTGTATACATAGTCAAGAGACATAAAAGTTCAGTTCCAGATGACATAATATATAGTCTGATCTTGATTTTGGTGTTATCATTTCGGCATTATAAGGAAAATCATTGTCTTCCATCTTGTAATATACATTTGTCTGCACTTTTGTCTTAATTAATTTCCATACAGCTGTTTAAAGGTGCATTAAGTGGATCCTACGAAAAGAATGTCGGAACTTAGCCCCCTAAATGCAAGAAAGGGTGAAAATCAGACAAAGTAAAGCATATTCTTTAACTTTATCAGATCTTTATAGATACAGGGCCAGGAGTAAATTTGGATACAGAAATAAGATAAGGAAACCACCAAATGACTGTAAAAAGAGCCAGCTTTTGGTGGTGCTAACTCAAGTGATTGCAAGTCTTTTGCATAAAGCATTAGATTTATGAAGGGATTACAAGTATCTGTGAATAATTTATTGATTGATTGGCGCACTAATATATGAGGTGGAAGATAATGTGGAAAGTAAATTGGGTTCTTATGGATTTCTCATTAACCACAGGCATGAATGAATCTCACTTGATGTTAGACTCCATTAACGGAGTCAATGGAAGCAATTTTAAAATGAAAGAAACCCTAATCGAGAGAGAAAAGAGAGAAGAAGGAAAGATATTTTCTTATTATGTTTTTCTATCTCATTCTTGAATCATCTGCAAAAATATATAGTCAAACATGACTTTATTTATAAATTGGACTGGGTTGTGTCCTATACAAAATTGGGCCCAAATAATAAAATCAAGGGATTTTTACCTATCTATACCATATATCAAACCTTATTACCAAAAATGTTCATAATTTGTTATTTACCCGTGTAGTCCACACTTTTACGACAAATTATATACCAATCCAAAAATAGGTAGATTTTGCCATAAAAAACGCGCTAAAATGAAGTCATCAGATCTGCGTGTGATTCTGTCAACATTAAATTCGAATTGCTGCGTAATTCTCTCCTTCCTCAACGGAAAGAGATCTCTCTTCTCTCACTCAACTACAATTCTCAAAAAACGCAAGCTACTGAAGCTCCAGTAATCAAACGGAAAGGAGATTTCTGTTCTTCATCTTCATCTTCATCTTCATATGCTTTTCCATATATTTTCTACCATTGATAGCCATTAAAAAGCTTGAAAGCTTTGAATTCAAATTTGGGTTTTCAAAAATCATTATTTGTTTGGATTGAGTGTTGTTGAAAATAATTCGGAATATGTTTAGGAGTTTATATCTCAATTTTGAGGGGTTTTGGTGAAGATTAGACTTGGTTTTGACTGAATTTTAGATTGAAACTCGAAGAAGAAGAAGAAGAAGAAGAAGAAGAAGAAGAAGACGTATTTCCAGAAATTGTAGATAAATTGTAGTTAAATTGTAGAATTGTAGATATATTGTAGATAAATTGTAGATGAATTGTAGATTGGAAAGACTAAAACTTCTACAATTATGTCGAAAATGCCAATTATGCTACAATTGAAATGAGAATTTGGATATTAAAATTCAATGTATCTATTTTGTAGATATCTTGTAGATAAATTGTAGATTATTTTTATTCTGATTGTAGATGCATTATTTTCTGTTTTCACAAATCCAAAACGACTAAAGTTTCTACAAAATCTTCTGCAAAAAACAGTCTACAATTTATCTACAATTTTTCTAATTTGACTACAATTTGACTACAAAATATCTACAAATTCTGGAAATATGTCTTCTTCTTCTTCTTTGAGTTTCAATCGACTGTGCTAACCAGTAACCTTCAACCACTGCCAAAAAAAAAAGAGGTCAAAGAATTTCGAACTCTCTGCCATTATTATTTCCAGTGGGAATTCAAGTGGTTCGATCAAAGAATTTAAAATTTTCTTGTGAATCTGAAAATATGATATTCTTCGACGGTGGTGGGCAGTTGGGGATGATCAACGAGAGGAAGCATAGGAGCATCGTGAGTTGTGTGTGTGTTGTGAACAGTTGAGATGAAAGGAAAGAGAAAGTGGGAAGTTACAATCCTATAATTATGCCTAATATAAATGAACCCTTAATTATATCCCTAATTTGAATTATGGTATAGAAATGGTAATTTGGTATGCTTAAATGTAATAAACACAAACCTTAAACATTGAGGGTAATAAGGTTTGATATATGGTATATGTAGGTAAAAATCCCTACAATCAAAAGTATTGACTAAACTAACTAATGGGCCTGGTAGTAATGTATTATTCAGCCCAACCCACCCCCTCCTCAAGCTGGAAGGGGAAGCCACTCCAAACTTGCCAAGCAAATGATAATGAAGAGGGCCGGCAAGAGACTTGGCTAAAATGTCAGCAGGTTGATCAGCAGTAGAAATATAATGGAGAGATATCAAATCAGATTGCAAACAATCACGAACAAAATGACAGACATTATCAATGTGCTTGGTCCTTTCATGGAAAACAGGGTTCTTGGCAATATGCAAAGCAGCCTGACTGTCACAAAAGACCTGAATAGGGGAAGAGAAGACCAAGCCCAGGTCACCAAATAAGCGAACCAACCAAGAAACCTCAACTACAACTTTCCTCAAAGCTTTGTACTCAGCCTCAGTAGAGGAAAGAGAAATAGTGGGCTGCTTCTTGCATTTCCAAAAAAAGGGGCAGCCACCAGAAGTAATGAAGAAACCTGTTATAGACTTGCGAGATTGGGTACAAGCAGCCCAATCAGAATCAGCATACGCCACAAGAGAAATATCAGAAGAGTTGGAGAGAAGAATGCCTTGTCCAAGATCATTTAGCAGGCATCTAAGAACATGGAAGGCAGCTAACACATGAGGAACCTGAAGAGTTTGAAAAAAATGACTCAAATACTGTACAACAAAGGCAATATCAGGGCGAGTGTGCTGCCAAAAATTCAATTTGCCCACTAAACATCTATAGATGCTGGGATCAGTAAGAGGTTGGCCCATATAAGGGGTGAGCTTGGCAGAAGACTCAAGAGGTGTGACCACTGGAGTAAAGTGATTGCAATTGAATTCATTCAATAAATCAGAGGCAAACTTGTGCTGACTAACCAAATACCCTTGAGGAGTCTTCAGAACTTCAAGACCCAAATATAATGGACAGATCCTACGTCCTTGATCTTGAACTGGGAGTCCAGGAAGGACTTCAAAGTGTCAAGCTCATTCACATCATCCCTAGCAAGTAATATATCATCAACATAAACAACAATGGCAGTAAGCGAAGAAGAATATGACTTCGTGAAGAGTGAGTAATCATTCTTTCTAGATATGTAGCCCCTTGAGGACATGGCTTCAAACAATTTAGAAAATTATTGTCTGGAAGCCTGTTTGAGGGCATAGAGAGACTTGAGAAGCTTGCAAACCAAAGGAGAAGAACCTGAAGCCATGGGGGCAGAAATCTGAAGACCAGGTAGAGGTTTCAAGTAAACCTCTTCATGGAGATCACCATGAAGGAATGCATTATTCACATCAAGTTGATACACAGTCCAGTTCCTCTTGGCAGCAAGAGAAAGGAGGCACTTGATGGTGGTGAACTTGATAACAGGAGAGAACGTCTCATTGTAATCAATGCCCTCCTTTTGAGTGTCACCCCTAATGACCAACCTGGATTTATAACTTTCAATGGAACCATCAGACTTTTGTTTGATTTTATAAACCCACTTACATAGGATAGGCTTCTTGTTAGGAGGAAGAGGAATAATTTCCCAGGTATGGTTTGCATTTAGAGCCTTAAATTCTTGTAGCATAGCCTCTTGCCAAGCAGGATGGGATGCAGCCTGTTGGTAATAAAGAGGTTCTTGCATGTGCAACTCAGTAGGAGAAACCTTAGGGATGGTAGGATCATGTTTGGTAACAGCTGAAGAACATATATAATCTTTGAGGTAAGGAGGAATGTGACATACCCTAGTGGATTTTCTAAGAGGAGGAGAGTGTGGCAAAGGAGGTGGTGTAGGAGAATTAGAAGAATCAGGGACAGAAGAAGGAAGAGGAGAAGAAGGTACTGAAGGAAGGACTTGAGGAGAATAAGGAAGAGAGAATGAGAAGGGTATACTGTCCTCAAAAGGAACAGAAGAGAAAGGCTGTACAGGAGGAGAGAGAGAAGAATAAGAGAAGATGCGTTAATGAAACACAACATCTCTAGAAAAGAAGATGGAATGATTGGTGAGGTTAAGTAGTTTGTATCCCTTTTTACTACAAGGATAGCCCAAGAATACATATTTGATAGCTCTAGACCGAAACTTATCCCTCATAGGTTTGGGGGTAGTGGAAAAGCATAAACATACAAATGATTAGAGGTGATCATAAGATAGAGGATTACCATGAAATCTTTGAAAGGGAGAGGTGTTGTCTAGGATAGAAGAAGACATCCTATTGATTAGATAAGTTGCAGTCAACACACATTCATCCCAGTATTTAACAGGAAGATGAGATTGAAAGAGTAGAGCTCTAGATGTTTCCAAAAGATGTTTGTGTTTTCTTTCAATGGTTTGATGAAGAATCCCATTTTTAGAGAAGAATGCTTTTGCTTAAGAACTCCCACCTAGTTCAAAAGCATTATCTGCTCTGAATGTTTGTACAGATGAGTTAAAATGTGTTTGAACCATTTTTGCGAAGGTTTTAATGATTGCAAATGCATTGCTTTTACAGGATAATAAATGGGTCCATGTTACTCTGGAGAAGTCATCAACAATGGTAAGAAAATACCTAAAACCATTGTATGTTTTGGTATGATAGGGACCCCAGAGGTCTAAGTGAACCAGCTGAAAAAGGGAACTGGACTTGATGTGACTTTCAGGAAAAGAAAGTCTTTGTTGTCTAGCCACTGGACAAATAGAACATGAAAAGGATTGTTTAGAAGGAATAATGTCAGATAAAACTGAAATTGATTTCATCTTATGAAGAGGCATGTGGCCTAATCTTTGATGCCAAAACAATTCCATCTTATTAACATTTGTAGGAGAATTATAAGAGGGACTGGGGAAAGGGATGACAGAATTGAAAACATTACATGTATTAGAAACATTACATCCAGAATTGAAAGATGCATTACCAGATGTATTATAGATAACAGATG